CAAAATCCATTAGGCCACCTGATTCAAATTAAAGTGATAACACACATATATCTCTTAATATTAATGAGAAGAATGAAGAAGACGAATTGGAATTTTTTGGATATTCATTTTTCTCTCAGAAGTAGTGTACAAGTATATACATCCACGGCTAACAAACTGACTAAAGGAGAAGAGAGAATTTAGGCCTAGCGAGAGGAAAGAAACGATGGGCCTAGGCTTATTCTACAATATGACATACAAAGAAGTAGGCCCAAACAAGTACAATATACACACTAAATATACACTGAGAAAGTATCATCCTGCTTCATCTTCTTCCTCGTCACACAGACTGATCAGTGATGAATTTTTAGTCTGATTCTTAGCACCCTCCCCTCGAGCTAAGCATGTACATACACAGCTTAGAGCGAAGGTTCTTGAACATGGGAGCATACAGTTCCTTCGTGAAAATGTCTGCAATTTACAGCTTACTCCGATTATGAGACAGAGAGAGGAAGCCTTGTAGAAAGTGATGTTGAACAAGGTGGCATGCAATTTCCAAGTGCTTAGTTCGTTCATGGAAAACCGGATTCCTTGCTATGTGGAGAGCTGACTAGTTATCACAATATAAAGGAATGACTTGAGATTCATGCACTTGAAGTCCTTTCAGAAGGTATGAGATACAAAGAAGTTCACAAGTAGTCGTGCTCATACTTCTATATTCAGCCTTTGTTGAAGATACACTAATGGTTGTTTGTTTATTCACTTTCCAAGAAATGAGATTTGAGCCAAGAAAGATGCAATACCTAGTGATTGACTTTCTAGTATCTGGGCAGGTTCCCTAATCGGCATCATAATAAGCCTCCAAGAGTAGAGATGAATTTGAGCTGAATAGAAGGCATAGATTCGTAGTACCTTTTAGATACCGTAGGAGATGAGTTGTTGCCTTCCAATGAGAAGTGGAAGGTCTGTCCATAAACTAACTTAGTTGTAGAGTAGCAAACACCATGTCAGATCTAGAAAAGTTGAGGTACAAGAGCCTTCCAATCAGTCTCCTATATTGTGTTGGATCTGCAAGAGTTTCACAATAAGTAGTGGAAAGCTTTACTCCAACGGGTAGAGGAGCGGAGGTGGATTTGGCATCCAACATTTTCATGTCATCTAATATGTCAAAGATGTACTATTTTTTGGAGAGGGCTATCACTTTAGCCAGTTGCACAATCTCTATTTTAAGGAAAAAATTTGCATCGCCAAGATCTTTTATTGTAAAAGGTTCGTGGAGATAGGCTTTGACTTCTTGTATAAGGTTGGGCATGACCCTGTCAAGAGAATATCATCTACATACATGTTAAGATCAACACCTCTGTTCTATGATATTTAATGAACAAGCAGTGATCATGAGGAGATTGTTCAAAAACAAATTGAGTCACCTTTTCAGCGAGAGTTTTATACCAAATTCGGGGGGCTTGTTTGAGACCATAAAGAGAGTTCTTGAGTCTACAAAATTGACCAGAACCAACAACGTATTCAGGTGGGGGTTTAAGCTAGATTTTTTCCTCCAATGTTCCATCCAAGAAAGCGTTATTAACATCCACTTGTTGAATGCTCCATCCCTTTGTAATGGCTACTGCAATGACTAGTCTTACTGTTACACTTTCGTAACAGGGGTAAAGCACTCATTGAAGTTAGTTCCATATTTTTGAAGATATCCCTTAGCCACCAGTTTTTCTTTGAACCTGTTTATAGTACCATCTTTGTTCCTTTTGATTTTACACACCTACTTGCATCCAATTGTCTTCTTCTCTTTCTGTAAAGGGGTTAATTCCCAAGTCCCATTGGCTTCCAGTGAGACAATCTCTTCTTTCATGGTTGGTACCCAATGAAGCTTTTTAACAGCTTCAACATATGTAAGTGGTTCACCCCCTTCATCCTCAAGAAGATTAATGTTATAGCACAAGTACTCATTCATCCAACAAGGTTTCTTTGTTGCTCTTTGGGGCCGTAAGGCCATCTCTGTAGTAGGTGATGAAGTATTTTCAGGGTTGCCTTATTAGGATCAGAATGCAATTTTTTAGTACGGGGAGAAAGCTCTTCAGATTTGGAAGATTTCTACACATAATCAATATCTGAAATCTCCTGCTGAGTATGACTGTTGTAGGATGTAGCTTCCTCAAGATTTGAAATCTCCTGCCGAGTATGACTGTTGTAGGATGTAGCTTCCTCAAGAAATTGAGGATGGTATTGAATTCCATCCATTATAGGTAAGGGTTGCCTCTCAGTTAAATTAGAATCAGAAGATACACCAGGCAACATCTCTTCATAAAACACCACATCTCTCGATAGTGTAACCTTATTTGTTTCAAGATCCAGGATTTTGTAGCCTTTTGTTCCTGATTCATACCCTATAAATATTCCCTTTATTACTGTTTTTTCAAGTTTATACTTGTGGGGGTCTGTATTTAAGGCAAAGCAAAGGCACCCAAATACCCTCAAGTGCTTCAATGAAGTTCAACACCGTACAAGATTTGATATGGAGACTTCCACTCAAGAATCGGTGTCAGCAACAAGTTTATACGATATGTCACTGTAAGTAGAGCTTTCCCCCAAAATGATGTGGGCAGATTCGAATGAAACAGTAAGCTTCGTATTACCGCCAATAGGTGTTGGTGTTTTCTTTCAGCCATTCCCTTTTGCTGAGGATTGTAAGGACATGACTTTTCATGTTTTATTCCATATTCCTGTAGCACATGCTGAAAATTCCAACTGGTGAATTCGGTTCATTGTCTGTTCTTAACCTCTTTACTTTTGAGTTGAATTATGTTTCCACCATTTTCAAGAAGACAAAGAATACAATAGAAGTTTGTGATTTTAGCTTCATCAAGTATGTCCAAGTAGCCCTATTGTGATCATCAACTATAGTCAGGAAGTATTTACTTCCATTTGAAGAAGCAATGCTATATGGACCCCAGATATCAAGATGAATTAACTCAAAGCAAGTAGGAGCATAAGAACCACTTTCATTAAATGAACACTTGTACAAGACATGTGTTCAAGAACCTTGTTAGATAGATGTCCAAGTCTGTAATGCCAGGGACAATTCTTCTTAGCTGCCATGATCTGCAAGGATGAATCCAACAGAAGATGATATAGATCACCCTTGAGCTTGCCTCTGCCTACTTTTTCTTCACTTCTCTGGTCCTGGATGATGCAGTTATTAGCCATAAACTTCATTGATATATTGGAATCAAAGCACAGCTTATGCACAGATATCAAGCAATACTTAAATCCAGGAATAAAGTAAACATTATGTAAGGTGATTATATCATTTAGCTCAATATTTCCTGTATGAGTAGCAAGTTGAGTAGTCCCATTTGGTAGGTGTATCTTGGCTGGTTGTTTCAGGGGCTCCAAGTATTTGAAATGAGCAGGATTATTGCTAACATGACATGTTGCCCCTGAATCCAAGATCCAAGAACTGTGATTGTTAGAGTTATTCGAAATATTTAAGCATTCTTTACCTGAGTGATCAATCTCCAACATGTTGAGATGGTCAAGTGGTGTTTTCACATTCTCAAAAACTTTCTTAATTTTCTTTTGAATCAATTCTGTGAGAGCATCAGTGTTCTATCCACTGGTTACAGCTGTGGAAGTATTTTCAGCAATAACTTGAAAGGTTGCTTCAGTGTTTGAGAGGTTCCCCTTGCCTTCTTTTTTCCTTTTATCTTGAATGGTTTTAAATCATTCTGGAGTGCCACGGAGTTTGAAGCAAGTGTCCTTACTATGACATGTTCTCTTGCAATGCTCACAGACCGATCCTTTTTTCTCCATTTTCTTCTTGTCAAATATCTTAGCAGTATTTCTATGGTTGCTCATCAGAATTGTGGGACTTGAATCAACCATTAGACCATGAATCTCTTGTTGTTTTTCAACACTTCATAGCATTCCATATATTCTGTTCAAAGAAGGTAAGGGATCTTGCACTTATTGAGTCATACACATCATTCAATCCCATGAGATAATCCATAATATTCTACTTGTGCAAATATTCCTCTATTTCTTTCTTTTATTCTGGTTAAAGAGCAAGGCAGTGTAGCTCATCTTTGAGTTTCTTCATTTTGGTGAAGTAAGCCACCATGCTCATCTTTCCTTGGGCTAGACAAGATATTTCTCTTTTTAGTTGGTAGATCAGAGGGCCATTGCATTGGCCATATCTCTCCCTTAACATTTCCCATAACTCACAGCTTGAGTTAACATATCCAAAAGCGTCGGTCGAAGTGAGGAGAAATAGAGTTTAGGACCCATTGAACAATCATACTATCTGTTTTTTTCCATATAATGGCAGCTGAAGGATCTGCAGGCTTACCTGTTTCACCAGTGAAAAAGCCTTCTTTTCCTTTTGCACGGAGAGCTCTCATGATTCCCTTAGTCCAAAGGAGATAGTTGGTGTCATTGAGTTGGGTGGAGATCAAACTCATATTGGGATGATCAAATGAATGCAGTTCAGTTGTGCTATAGAAGTATTAAGCACATTGATAGGGTTAGAGCTTAAGGCACTAGACCTGGAGCTCGATGAAACAGACGATCGATTAGCTAAGTCAGAAGCCATTCTGCAATCTGAAGATATCAAGGGAGAAATCAAAACAAAAGAAAAATCACAGCATAATATGATTCTGCTCTGATACCATGAGAAGAATGAAGAAGAATATTCATTTTTCTGTCAAAAGCAGTGTACAAGTATATACATGGAGGGCTGACAACTTGACTAAAGGAGAAGAGAGAATCTAGCTCTAGCGAGAGGAACGATAGGCCTGGGCTTCTTCTACAAGATGGCATACAAAGAAATAGGCCCAAATAAGTACAAAATATACACTAAATATACACTTGAGATCCTCTTCTTCCTCATCACACTGATTAGTGATTTTTGAGTCTGATTCTTGGCAATTAATCTTATAAATAAGAAGTTATTCACGATCGATGCCTCCAAGATGATATCAATTGATTATATATAGAAATGAATTAATTAATTAATTAAAAGAACCATTTCTATACCAATCCCGCTGCATCTATATCAACAAGTAGAAACGAAATGAAATGAGCATAGACTTAATTTCAATGATGGCTCCGGATGAATTGATTAATTAGGCTTTATGCAACCACACTTCCATTGCCATCTTATTATTATTATTATTATAAGTATGACACTAACAGTAACTTAGTTTAGGGGCAGAGGGTGCAGACGATGAGATGAATGTGGATGTGGTGGTGTGGTGATGTGTTGTTCTAGAGAGTCATTCCGGCGGGGAGTGGGACTTGCCAATCAGCAGGATCCACTTCTGGCAACTCGAATTCATCAGCTTTGAGAGACAGTTGAAATTCTGGAAGATCAGGCAAAACCACCTGCTGCTGCTGCTTGTGAGGTTGGTGAAGTAGGTAGGCGTACATTTGAGATTTCTTGGAGGCCGTATCTGGAATCTTCTTGTATAAATGCTTGATGGCACCCCACGGTGGAGGGCTCCTTGTAATTGGATCTGAGAGGCAAAAGCTTAAGCAAGCCTTCTTCCCATCCCCCAACAGCTCCTCTGCTGCAAGGAAACACAGGAGCGCAATCTCATGCCAGTTGCTGCCGCCGCCGCCACTAGATGAAGAAGAAGGAGAAGAAGAATCTCCTCCTCCTTCATCCTTGTCTCCCCCGGCCTTATCAAGGATTAGACCGTGATAGTAATAAGCTGCAGCCTACCAATATAACATAATATTATATACATCTCCACGTCAGCCAGTCAGTCACAGTCACAGTCACAGTAAATGAATGAATGTTACACTAATTAAGCTAGTCTGGCTCACCTTTGCTTCTAGATGCTTCCACTTGAGGAACAAAGATAGTTTCTTTGTTCCACCACCTTGCTCATTATCCACTTCGGATAAGCAGCCATGAGCCTGACTACGCCAAAACACAAATTCAATTAAAACACCGTGCACCATCTCCATCATTATCTACGTACACTACTAATTAATTGATTAATACCACTTGTAAAAATGTAATCTCCATGGGAAAGGTAAAGCACTTTTAAAATCTAGCTACCTAGTTTCCTGTGTTTCGTCTTCATCCCAAGTTGTTATCGTATTATAGATATAGTGCTGATTGCTTGCTTGCTTGCTTTTCATATATCATATAGTCCAGTCCATACATACATTATACATACATACAGCACATGCTCGCTTCACACTCAGCGTTCCATACTGCATGGGTGTTGTTATTATTAATTCCTCCTAACTAATTAACTATCCATAACCCAACAGACGAAGAATATTTTATATGAATGAAGGAAATGAGTTTTATCCTAATCAATCATCAACACGCTTTCTATCTTATTTATATAACCAATTAAATTTATATATTAATTAATTTATTGTACCTGCTCAAAATAACTCAACTGTTCACATGCTAGTCTCCTCTTCACAGATAAAGTTGCATTTTGGCTTTTGACTGCAAGTCCAAGCTGAATTTCAGTCCCCTGAGAGAAGCAGCAGAAGAATACTATCTATCATAAGTAAGTCACTGTTGCATGCCAGCCTGCCTCTAAATTATCATTTTCCATTATTGTGCTCGTTCATAGCAACAGGGCTGTTTGTAATAATAAGAATGATAATGAATGGTGTGGTGTGGGTGCGTTTTTTAAACCTGAGCCAGGGCTTGATGTGAAATTGCCTCTAGGACACCCTTGCTCAAATCTGGAGGTAGTTTGCCCCTGTTCTTGCATGGACCAGTACCCAATACTGTCCAGAATTAATATCACAATGTATATATATACGTATACTGTACACACGAAACATAAATACACACTGCATGTATGTATATATATATAGTATTAGTGTGTGTGTGTGTGTGTGTTTTGAAAGAGAGAGAGAGAGAGAGAGAGAGAGAGAGAGAGAGAGAGAGAGAGAGAGACTTCTTACATTATCTCAGGTGGTAGTCTAAGAAGAATGTGGTGGACACAGAAATTCAAATATCCCGCTGCCTTAAGCAATGAATCAAGAGCATCCCTCATACAATCTGACGAGAGAGAGCACCCGACGGATACCATATTTAGTCTAGTATGAGTATCACAAATTTTGCATGTTAAATGTGAACTAAACCAACCCACCAGCAGATACAAGCCTTTCCGAGTGGCTGCTGCTGCTGCTGCTTTTGGGACTCGCAATTAGCTTCATATTTGCGTCCATCAACGTTACCGTAGCCATCATATATAAAACATTCAGTACTTCAAACCAGGAGTTGGCAATACAGATTTCCTGATCGTAAGAGAGGATACACACACAGCACAGAGTCATCATTTTCAAATCATCAAAAGGTGATTATTATTATTAGTAGTATTTTTTTTTACCGTCAAATCATTTTCCCATTCTCACCTGTTTTCCCTTTTCAATCTCCTTCCATCTGAACTCCACCAAATCTTGAACCCCCCCAACTTCTATATAAGTATCAATCAGATCACGATTAACAAGTATTATTATTCCCGGTGGTTTCGATCTGAGAAAGAACATACTCTTTCTGTAAATTAATTAAATACCTGTGTTGGCGAGGCCAAGCGCAAGGGGCAAGTATTCTTCCAATGCTTGTGTTAGTTCCGTGGTGGAGGTCCCTAGTAAAAAACACATAAATCACGAATCATCATCATCAGTTGGTTGGAGAGTAAATGAGGAGGAGGAGGAGGAGAATCGAGCATCCACTAGGTAGAGCAAGTGAAGGAGGAGCAAAAGCAGAGGGAGAGGGAGGGGTTACCGGCGGATTCGGCAAGTAGAGTAATCCGGTTGCGGAGGGAAGTGATTCTATGAACAAGATCCTGGGGGATGTAGCCTCGGAGTCGGAGTCGGAGTGTTGGGTGCAGCATATGGGATTGTACGGGAATCCAGAGGGAGGGGACACATACAGAGACTTCGGGGATATTGTGCTTCTTCTTATTCTTCTTCTGCACATTCCTTTTACCGGATGATGCTGCTGCTGCATATACAGAAGACGTGCACCCCATGATGTTATTGTTCATTGATCTGATCCGATCTGATCTGATCCTTATCCTTATGATGTATATCAAAATGTATACATAGAACGAACATGCTGAGGGAGCTGTCCCGCAGCTGGATCAATTTCAATTATAGATATATATGCGGTTGAAGATGGAAGAGGAAGAGGAAGAGGAGGAGGAGGCAAACGAGTTTAGTATAAGGAGGTTAAATCCTGAGGTGGGGCAGAGCTAGAGGAAGAGGGAAAAGAGAAGATGGATCTGGGGTGGGGGAAGGAGAAGAACGAGAAGATTTGGGGAAGAAGATGAATAGTCAGTGAGTCAGTCGGTCATGGATTGATTGATTATATGTTAACAATAATTTAATAGTACTAGTCTAGTGGTAGTGGAGTAGTAATTTTTGAAGAGAGGGAGAGGGAGAAGATGGATTGGATGCATGCATATGCATATGCATGTGCATGTGTGTGTGTAACAGTGTAAGTGTTCCGTAGGGATCTGGAATCATCACGTGGCATGGGCGTGAGCGGAGGGACAGCAGCAACTTCCGCCACGCTACTACCCAAGCAAGAAGCACCACCAAAGCTTTCTTTGATTTAATCAATCTCCCATTTCCAGAGAAACACATACTATTGTATTGAATTAAATTCAATTACTACTTACTATGCTGTACCCCAATCCATTATATATAAATGAGTAGCTAATTCCAGCCAGCCAGCCAGCCAGCCAGCCTCTTTCATACTCCTAGGCTAGCTAATGATGCCTGATCAGATTTATTTTTTTATTTTTTTTATCTTTTCAAAAATGCCCATGAGGATCGGAGGAGTGCTTGCCTGCCTGCCTGCCTGCCTGGGTCAATCAACGCTGGGAATGGAAATTGGAATGGAACTGGAACTATTACTTCTACCTCTACTTTTACTGTACCATTGCTAACTGTTTGCCAGCTTCCTTACTTTCCTTTCCCTTCACTTCATCTTAATAAACTAACTAACTTGTATACCAAACTACTTTGTCTACCTTAACAAAACTCATAACAATATCAGGCATCGTATAATAATAATAATAATAATAATAATAATAATAATAATAATAATAATAATGATGGAATTTAAGCAAGATAAGCTACTACCTAATCGGTCCGGATCACCTGTCCCTTTTTTTTTTAAATGTCTCTTTGTCCCTTGCAATAAAGGTGAGAAGGGTGCCATTTTCATTGTAATTTCTTTTTTATTTGACAAAATCAAATGTATATTTGTAAAATAGTCTTTATATTGCAACTAAATCCTAAATACTAATTTTCAAATTTTAATATCTCACTTCGGCCATATCTCACGATCAACTCCTCTCTCTTTTCATCTTCTCCGAGATTGTTTCCATTGCCACAACATTTGTCGTGACAGGTGTTATTTCTTTTTTTATTTGACAAAATCAAATTTATATTTGCAAAATAGTCCTTATATTGCAACTAAACCCTAAGTATTAATTTTCAAATTCTAATATCTCACTTCGACCGTATCTCATGATCAACTTTTCTCTCTTTTTATCTTCTCCGAGATCGTTTCCGTTCCCACAACATTTGTCGTCGTAGGTGTTATTTTCTCGCCCAACTTTAGTCTTCTCGGTCGTTCGTTGTTCTTCACATTCTCCCATTCGGTTCAGTAATTTTTTAAAATATTTTTTTATTTTATTTTTTGATTTGTATGAAATCTTTTGCATATGATAATCTCTCGTTGATTTAACCTTCGATTTACAAGTTTGGTGTATTCCCAACCACGTCTTCTTTCCATTCCTCTCTCGAAAAATCAATAAGGGTTTTAGAAGAGATAATTTTAGCGTCAAAGATAACATTTTGCGAATATACATCCTCACTGATTTTTTCCTAAGTTATTTACTTATAAAATATTTTTATCAATATTTTAAAATCAACATCTTGTAAATTAGAGTTTATGAATATAAAAGTTGAAACGCTTCTGTCTCACTCACGCGCACCCTGGGAAACTTGGGTTACCCATCCTCAAATTACTCTATGGCAAACACGCTTAACTGTAGAGTTCTTTCAGTAGAGCTTCCGAAAAGAAATGTGCACATTGTTGACATTAGTAGTCTATTCAATTCATTTAACATTTTATTCAACCTCGGGGGTATTTCATCCTCTCCGACTCATATCACTATTCAACTTCGAGGGTATTATAGTATAAGTTCTACTTATATTCACTACAAAAAAAAAAAAGGCTATTTGTAGCAGCTTTAAAACCGCTACAAATGACCATTTTTTGTTATAAAAAGCTATTTGTAACGATTTTGTACCGGATTTTGGCCGGTGCATATACTCAAGTTACAAAAAGTCTATGTACCGACATTTTTCGTTACAAAAAGTGGACAGTCAACGCGCATGAGAAATCTTTTTGTAACGGGTTTTGTAACGCTAACAATGTTTTTTGATTTATTTGTAGCGGATGTTTCTCGTAATAAAAGAGTCATTAAAATAAATGTTCATGCATTTGTAATGACTTTTGTTACGGTATAATTTGTTACAATAAACTGATTGTCAGAAAAATATTTTAAACGATATTCATAATTTTTTGTACCGGTATTTGTAACGAACACAATTTCGCAACAAAAAAAATAGTATCGGAACCCAAAAATATAACTAGTTCGCAATACAACCATTAGTAGCACCAAGTACGCACTATTTAGGAACATAACTAGTTAGCAATACAACCAACATATACAATCCAAAGGCAAAGCATAGCAACAAACACACAAAAGGAAACAACATATGCAAGTTCAACCTAAGTAAAGGACTTAGTCGGTATCAATCCACAAACAAAAGTTATCATCATAGAATTACATGCAACACTGCATCGCCCTATGCAGCGTCAAAGTGAATATACACGACAGTTACGCGTGACGAATGAGCTGCCAACATAGTGAAAAATTATATAATAATTTACTTGCGAGTTGGTTAAATTATAATCTAATAGAAATTTATAAAAATGGTTACGTACATTCTTGAATGTCCAGTCGATTGGCTCGACATGGACAAACTCACAGAGTGTTTGCACTTCAGATATCGTTCATGAATTAGCGCAGCCTCCGGAACGGTAGCAGCCGTGAAAAAAACCTTTACTATATTAATGGTATAACCTATGTACATATAAAGAAAATATGTGCATATCATCGAAAACAAAATGCAACTCACAAAATTTCATTATCTTAAAGTGGATGATCGATACTGCAACATTAATAAATATACAAAACAATCATGACCTAAGAGATAGTCACATGTGACTTCAAATGCATACCGAGAAAATATATAAAACTATATATTATCAATAAGAAATGCTTGCAAGTTTCTAGATTTCCTGCATGAATCGAAAACATAACCTATAATTATTCTTTACAAAATTGATGGAATGAATAAGAGAAGAGGCAAGGAAAATAGAAAAAAAAATGCAGCAAAATTATTCTCACTTAGAAGTTATGACCTCTCTTTGTTACCAAACCCAAAAGTGTTGGCATAAAACAATTAACCAAATGTAGCATCCTACCGAACTGGAGCCCTTGACTATAATGCATATATGAGAAACCACTCAGACACATTCATTAGCTGAATAATCCAACTATAAAACAAAATCGCAATACTGAATAATAGACAAGGAAATTATAATTCTACCTTCTTTCAGCATATTATAGATGGACACAATATCACCACTAGCTGCAAATGCCTTGTCTCTCTACCTTTCAAAATTTTCCAACCATATGTTAGGCGAAAACAAGAAAATAAAATACAAGTGACTTGGGAGGTAAAAAGACAATCTTCAAAACTACAAACCCAACATCCGGCTCATCTTCCCAACTTCTGTACAACGTCTGAAGCCTGTCTACCTGTAATGCATATAGATTTAAATATCATATACTTATGAGAGTTAAGTATTAAATTGATTATTAAGTAGCATTTCAGTATTCAAGATATCTCAAACTTTACCGTAAGAAAATAGATTATATTTTTTGATAATTAAAAGAAGTAATTTATAGATATAGTCAAGCCAAGATTTTAGCTTAAAAAATACGGAACCATTTCTCTAATTATTGATGTAGTTAATCAGCTTGATTCTTGAGCATATACATGATGTTATTCTCCAATGCATTCAACTTAGTTCTGAGCAATATAAATTGATTATCTTCAAGTGGTAGACAAACATGTTCAAATAATACAGGTAAATACCAAGCCCCATAAATTTTGGGCAGACAAATTCCCACAAACAAAATAATGCAAAAGCAAACAATTCATTTTCAAGAATCACAAAATAAATCCATGCAGTAGATTGGATTTTCATAAATCAACCAACAAACTTAAAGACCGACAAATTAGAAATAGATGCATGTAGCTCATTTCACTTAACCTAGCTCATGATATAAAAACAGGTCCTTATAATGATTACCCATTACACTCAATGCGAAAAAACTTATGAAATCATCAACATAAGCAATCCATAAAGTTAGTGAACAATTTCTATTGTGCAAACTAATTGACAAATAATAAGTTGTACTTCAACTAGCAATAAGTTTAGACATGGCTACTGCAACAAATGAAGAAAAGTCAATCTCCACAACTGAATTGTCAAAACACAAGCTTGATTACACTTTTGCTTTACTATCTATATGAAAGTAATATTTCCTAGTGATTTTGATCATTTTCATACCTGAAATAATGTCAATTATAGTCATACTACCGTGACTAATCAAATCTGCAAGAAAAAATTATGCTAGGATTAATCCAGTATTGATGTTTGCATCATTGTAGAAATCCAGTGATAATTATAGAATAAATTTGTTGGTAGATAACAATGCATAATTGACAGGAATAAAAGATAACTTTTTAATTGAATTTGTTGATACATCATAAGAAAACAGTCGAGGCAGTGGTTGCTTGCTTAACAGAAACGTCTCCCTATATACCAGACGAACAGAAGCATAGCATCATGCATTACAAGACATAGAGAGAGTTTAGAGAAAATAACAAAGAAATAATGTTTAAAAAGTGAAATTTTAGTTAATAATAGCTAATTCATACACGATAACAATCTACGTCACAAATCCACACTTCCAAAGAGCTAAACAACAGAAGCAAATTAAATATGGAATAAAGTAAAATAAATTCATGAGCGGCACTTCAATCAAAATTGTTCAAGTTCAACCCAAATTTATGTTCCAAATTAGATCCAAACCTCATATACATAACCCATATCATATGCAAGGATAAACAAATAAAATGAAGAATATGAGTCATGAAATCCATAATTCATTACAAAACCTAACTGTATATGAAGAATAAGTTCTTTATTTTTGGTAGTAACAACACAACTCACAATCGTAACCATAGAAACATCCACAATGCAAATCCAAAAGTAAATCAATGACAATAGCTATTCTATAATTAATAGCTATTCATTACTCATAGAAAAAAATCCACTAACCTATTATATAATTAATAGCTAACACAATGCATCAAACTAAGAAAATCAAACAAATACGAAAGTTGGAAAACCATCACAAGTAACCAATAAACTCGTGAACATATACTATTAATTAAAATTCAAAAAAAAACAATACAGGAATACCAACCAAACTAAAAAATAATAATAATCATACTTTAATCTATATCAACACCAAAATACACGTGCAAATCAACAAGTTATTCAAGACATATATTCATATAACCTAAATATTAAAATTATTTATCGATACTTTTGGACCAAATCTAACTTAACAATTTTAACATCAACCATAACAAGAAGAAAAGTAAAACAACAAATTTGAAAAAAAATATCTCGTTTTCAGAACTTTTCACTTTCTTGGGACGAATACTAGAAACTGCAACCGATTTTTTCTCATTATACCTCACATGATATTTTTCAATATTAATAAGGTTGATAACAAAACAAGCAATGGTGTGCAGTAAATGACAACACCACATATCATATGAAAACTTGAAACTAGAACCTTTTGTTTGGAATTGTGAAGCCTTGTCAGTTTTGTCTGCTACTGTAACAGCCTTGTTATTCTTGGGTTTAACAATATATCCAGATTGAACCGAAGAAAATCAAGAATCTAAACCATAATCATAAAACAATCAATGGGACTTAAAACTAGAACCTTTTGCTTGGAATTACAAAGCCTTATTATGGTTACTCTCTAGTTTGATAGCATCTCCATATTGAATGGAAGAAAATTAAGAATCCCAAATATAGCGACAAATATTCAAAATGATCATAAACTTGTAAAAGTTAAATTTGAAACAAGAAAAGAACACAATATTCATCTATCAACCGATGTATTATATGGTGAGGCAAGAAAGACATATAAAAGATGTAACAATTTGAAAATAACACACCTTCATTGTCTTTTATTCGAAGCTGCTCAAAATGACCACTAGGGCTGGCAAACAGATCAGGTCAGGTCGGGTTCGGGGTCGGGTCAGCTTAAACGGGTTACAAAACCCTTGACCTGAACCTGGCCCATATAATTAAATGGGTTGATATTTGTAACCTTAACCCGATCTTTTATTAATCGGGTCAACCTGAATCTAACTCGTATAACCCGTTTAATCTAAAAATTTTAAATTTTAATTTAAAATTAAAATTTATACTAACAAAATTTTAAATGCATAATATATATACATATTAAAGCAAGAAATTATTTATTCATATCATGAAACCGATATTCAAGAATTGAATTAACAAACACTACATAATAGTACACAGCACAATCCTTTATTTTTTATTATTTATTTTTATAAAATTGGCCATAAATATTGAATTGTATTGATAAAATTTAAAAAATATATCTAAATTTAAAATAATATTAATTAAACAAGTTAGACGGGTTATTTTCAGGTCGAAAATGTAGACCTTAACCTGACCCATTTAATTAAATGGGTTAAACGGGTTTGACCCAATTATTAATTGGGTCGAAAATCTCAACCCAAACCCAACTATTTCAGGTCAGGTTCCGGTCGGGTTATCAGGTCGGGTTAATTTTTGCCAGCCTTAATGACCACCATACATGGCATTTTTAACTAATATCTTTCTACCTCCAACAGCTGAACAATTCTTCAACTCAATGGAACGATTAGTATCTTCAATGACAACACTTACAATTGAGAATCAATATCAAAACTAGTACCACTCACAAAATCCAGAAAAAAATTATTAAAAAAGCAAATTTTACTTACAATTGAACATAGCCAAACCTTCGATGCTCACTTGATCCTAATATAGAAACAAGCAAAGACCGACCAAAAATAAAAGCTTAGTCTAGACAAAATATTTTTGCTACAAGAAATAAAACAATCATGATTTTTTTACTTCAAAACAAGCAATTTTAAAATCAATCACATCCCATGTAAGTATTATTCTTTTGGTTGTCCACAACATTTAAAATCATAACCTTGTTTCATGTGATCCTCAAATTCAACGTGGGCACTAGATTAGCCTACCTTTTTTGGTAACCATAAAGCATCTTCTTATTGGTCCAATCTTACTGAAAGTTTATTCCATCTAAATAAACATCGACAACAAACAATAAGGCAAAACAATAAATAAATCCAAACTCACGGAAAGATCCAGGGTTAGCGTTTCAGGACGTTGGTAAGCAGCGGTGACTCGCTATCGACAGGTCGAGGAAGACGGCGGTGGAGTGCGATTAATGGCCGACGAAGGTGGAGATGACGCGCCGTTCAAGGGTGCAGGGCGGAGAAATTAAAGGATGGTGAAGGAGGACGTATGGGAAGGAGAAGAAGAAAAAGAAAGAATAAGAAGAATAAGAAGAAGAACGAAGGACAAAGAAGAACGAAGAGGACGAAGAAGAACGAAGAGGACAAAGAAGAAAAGGAAAGAAGAATAACAGAGAAAACGAAACAGAAGATATGAATTGGGCAGCGCAATAGGGTTTATTTAAAAATGTTTTAGTTTTAATTTTAATTTTAATTTTTATTGGATATAATAGTTTCAATTTTAAATAAATATTTTTTTAAAAAAAATTCAATTTGTATATATTAATATATAAATATTATATATGTGTTTATATATATGATATATATGTGATATATTAATTTAGATTATTTTAGATTTAATATGAAATTTAAAATTAAAAGTTTTGTAATTGTAACGAAAAAAATAAGGCAACAAAAGAAAAATGTTGACCAAACCGAAAAAACTATTTGTTACGAAAATATCCGGAACAAAAAATAGCTTTTGTAACAAAAAAATTGTAGCGGATGAGATTTCGCTACAAATGGCCATTTTTTTTGTAGTGATTATGCCAAGATAATAGTCTTAGGCATTAAAAAACACAAGTTTCATAAAGATCAAAGTGAGAAGATAATTGATAGACAATTTGCGTGTAATATAGAAGGTCAAAGGTGTTTGGAGAACACCGAAATAGAAGAAAATGCAAACAAAAATCAGATGTAATGAATTCCTTAAGTGCGGTCACGCCTGAGCAGGGTGTTCAAACTGTCTCACCAAAATCTTTCTCTTCAATCAATTATTCTTTCTACCAAAATACGATGAATAATAACCACCAATAAACAATGGAAATAACAATATGAGACACCAAAAATTTTAACGTGGAAAACTCCTTCAAAGTGAATGATAAAAACCACGAGGCCTATCACCCGACCCAAGACAAAATCCACTATATCAAAAGGTTCGTACAATCAAAGTTAACCACACCCAAAAGGGCTATCAAACTCCACAGCCAATTACAAGAATCAAACCCCAATCACAAGAGATCTCCCAACTACTAACAATCCATTCTAATCACCAACCAATAAGATTCAAAATCGAATCCAAACAAGTAAATAGTGAGAAGTCAATGATACCAAAAAAAAAAACATTCAAAGAAGATGAGACCGTTGATCGGAACCGAGTTGAAGAAATTCTCTCTTGCTTGTCGATCTGTCGTGAGCATGGATAACGATTGTTCCTCTCTCAAAATCTCTGCACCCAAAATGACCCCTCTCTCAACTATGAGGGCTAGGGCAAACATGGGCTCTCAATTCTTTTGGACTAACTTGAATTGTTGGGCCTCCACACATAGAAGGAACCCAAACCCAACAAAAGGGAGAAGGATAAAAGAAATATCAAAATGAAAAATCCACGAGCTATAACAAGATTTGGGTGCAATACTATAATAAAAATTTGTTTGAGAGATGACATGAAATATCAAGTATCTAAGTTTATGTCGGAACATACTCATGATTTAACTAGTCCTCGAAAATTTCATTTTTTTCCATCCCACAGGAGGATAGATGATGCTCATGCTGAACGGATTGATATAGCCAAATATGTGGGACTTGTTCCAAAAGTCTCACAGAATCTCATGATTAAAGAAGTAAGAAGCCGAGATAGCTTAGGATTCATTAGGTAGAATGTTAAAAATTACTTGCGATATAAAAGAACAAAGTACATAGATGTTGGGATACGGGAGAAGTGCTGAAATATTTGCAAATGATGCAAAATTAAGATCCAAATTTTTCTTATTTGATTCAAGTGGACATGAATGGATTGATCACAAACATTTTTCTTATTCTCTAGATGAAAGTCGATTATGTTGATTTCAGTGATGTAGTAAATTTTGACACTACATATAGAAAAGGTAGGAAAAATCGTCCGAAGGCCTTGTTTGTTGGTGTCAATCATCATAAGCTAGCAAACAATAATTTTTTGCACAACACTTTCATATGACCATACTATTCCATCCTTTGAGTGGTTGTTTTATACTTTTGCCAGCACAATGTATGGAAGAAAGCCCACTACAATTTTTATTAACCAAGATCATGCTATGGCAAATAAATTAGTTCGATATGGCCTGACACTTACCACAAGTTAGTTATTTCACACATATATCATCATGGTGCCAAACTATTGTGTTATATTTTTTTAAAAAAAAGGTTGTATACTTTAAATTGATATAATTTTCCATTTTTGTTCAATATTTTAGGTTATATATTTGGAACATCTATCATAATATTGAAATACATCTGAATTTTATTTCTTCTGAAAATAGAAGCTTTGGACATGACTTAAGGAAGTATATACACAACTTTAAAGAAGAAGGTGAATTTTTGGAAGGATGGAATGAGATGTTGGAGAAAATAGATTTTTTGGAAAATGATTGGTCGAAGAGATTGTTTAAAGTTAAAGAAAAATGGGCATTGGTATACATTTGTCAGTTCTTTTGTGTTGATATTATCAACAGTGTTATCAAGAAGTATCTCAGCCATAAAAACAATTTGCATCAATTTTTGAAAGGTTTGAAGACTTGGTTGAATCTCACCGTTATGAACAGTTGAAAGTTGATTTCAAACCAAATACCAGCACTTAAGTTCTATCTATGTTAGTTAAACTATTGAAGCATACGACAAGCTTGTACACCCCGGAAGTGTTCAAGATTTTTCCAACGCAAATTGCGCAACACTTGCAGGCTCGCGCTAGGCTGCAAAATAAATGTCAGTTCCTATGTCTCAAAAATACAATTAATGTAGTTAGTAGTGAATAGGGTCACGTTCACAGGGACTAACCAAGGATCAAGTAAAATCATTATTATCCATATTATAGATATAGATATAAATAGGAGGGGGGGTTGATTTCAACTAAAACTAAGAAGCTGAACAAGAAAAACTAACATAGAGAATTGGTGTAAAAGTATGAAGATGAGGTCTAGCCGTGGATTGAACCTTTATTTAGGATATGAACAACTGATCACTGACAATTAATAAAGCTCGATAGTAATTGAATAAACTAGTTATAGTTGATTTACACGCATTTACAACCAATTTTTTCTTATTTTTTTTTACAGCTAAGGTACGACCGTTAGCTATTTTTCTAATTGGGTGAGAATCATAGGTTCGACCATAGTATTTACTGACCCAACTGCTTTAATAATTAGAAAAGCCCAATTTAGCTTAACACCTATCCTACGAGGCAATGTTCAAAGCTAATTTCCATTCCCTACCAAAGTGACTGCTTTGGTGCGTTACTTTTATTGAAAATTAATACAATTACAGATATTAGTTTTCAATATAACAATGAATACATTAATCAACATAGGACCATAAATATGAATCAAGATATCTAAACCCGCAAAATAAAGGAATGAAAAATATTCAATACCAAAGAATGAATTTTTAATAATAATCATTTAGTCTCACAAAATGGTTCATACCCCAAATTATTTCAACAAGAAGCTAGAACAAGAAACTACTCGCAATCCATAGAAAATGATTTCATACAATAAAACACAATCAACATGCTTACAAATCCAATTGCAGAATTTGCATTTCAATGAGAGAATTGTGGACGATTTTTGGGTTGAAGGATGGGCTCGCGCAGGGCTGGAACAGGCGTGACTCTGGACTAGGGAGATGACCGGCATGGAGAGAAAAAAAAATTGATGTGAAAGGGGTGAGATCTGGGAGCTTAATGTGTATGTTTTTTTCTGCGTTTCTTTCCTCCCCCTTGCACTCCTCTAGGGCTGCTATTTATAGGAACTCAAATCAGAGATGAAGCCTTCATCGTGCTGTCTTCAATACTTCCGATTTTCAAGGAATTGAAGGCTTTTCCACGTTGCAGATCGTGCTCTTTCCCAGTCGTGGCTTTGGGGATGCTACTTCCAGAGTTCTTCAAGTTTTCTTGCTTCCAATTTCAGATCCCCTATTTCTTTTAATCCCACAAGGGTTCCAAATTTGCTATTAACTCCCCGAGGACACCTCTGCAATTTTTAACAATTCTTTTGTTGGCCCAACTTTAAATTTCCAGATTCCATACTATTCTTGCTTGTGACCACGGCTAAGCCATTCCTGTTCTCTGATCTTTTCCATGGATTTTTCCAAGTTTGTCATTTCGGTCAATCCTATTAAAAAAACACCAAAAATCATCAATTAGGGGTAATTATATGATTTTAATATTCAAAACAAGATTAGATGTAAGCTAAATATTTACAATATTTCGGGTGTATCAAGACTTATGATTGTATTGTGGTTGTTAGTAGCATGCATGAGACTATGACAAATTATCAGGTAAGTTATAATGAAAGATCAAAGAATCATATTGTTACATACAACTCATCCGACGACATTGTTTGTTATAGTTATAAGAAATTTGAGTTTTTCGGGATACTATGCTTTCATAGACTTAAAATTCTTACAGCAAATTATACTTAGAAGATTCCTGATCGATATATAATAAAGAGAATAGTGCAAGAGTAGGAGGTTCGCATATTGGGATAATTTTCTTTGAACACGGGACGCATGACCCGAAGAAATATTTAAGTACATGATATAAGAACTTGAGTATGCTCTCCAACAAACTAGTTACAAGAGCATCGAAGAGTAAAGAAACGTATGAGTTTGTAAAAGATTTATTTATAAAGACAACTAAAAAGGTCAATAAACATTGACTGAACAATAAAGTTTATTATGGGGGATTTTGTTGCAAGGATGTCAAATTGAATCTACACACTCAGTCTACTTTGAGTAGAGAATGTGATGTCCATGTGAAAGAGATATAAAATAGAACAAGACTTCGTTTGGATAAATGACCCAAAAATGGGTTGGAAAAGAAATCAAGAAAAAAAAATCTACAGTTCATACAAGTGAGATATTAGCTGAGACACATATACTTATCATTTATTGATTATTAAATAGATGATACTTGTTAAAATT